TCCACGAGCCGAGGACGGGGAGCAAGAGCAGGAGGAGAGAGAAGGAATGAAGAACGAGAACACGGAGGCATGAACAGGACGAAAGGGGAGGGGAAGGAGGAGGGCGAGAGGGAATGGGCAAGCTAGGCGCGCTCGTGCCATATCTGACATCCCATCCCTCCCTCCCATCCCTTCCCACTGCGCTGACTGCTCTTTATCCGCGGACGCGTGCCATAGCCGACCTGGAACCCCACGAAATACCCGATCGTGCTATGCGCAGTCGGAAAAGACTTACCTATGGGACCTGCTTGACCTGCGGGACCTCTGGGGCCTGTGGGGCCTGTGAGACCTGCGACACCTGTAGGACCTGTGGAACCTGTGGGACCTGTAGGACCTGTGGAAACTGTGGGCCCTGCGAGACCTGCGAGGCCTGCTGCACAGGTGGCATTGGCGGGACCTGCGGGACATGTGATACACGCGGGACCTGTCAGACCTATGAGACCGATGGGGCATGCTAGATCTGCGACACAGGCTAGACTTGTGGGACATGTGAACCTGTCAGACTGGTAGGACCTGTGTGACTACCTACCAGACCACCCCAACCCAACCCGAAGACCCGAATTTCGGGTTGGGGGGGGTACGGGTTCCATATGTGTTTTCTCGATGTTCCCCGACTCCCCCCAATTGGAAATGGAGGGCAAATCGAGACCTTCAGGTTGGGTTGGGGTGGTTTGGTGAGTGGTGACTGTGGGACCTGAGGGACCTGTGCGGCGACCTGCGACACTGGTGAGTCCCGTGGGTCCTGTGGGACCTGAAGTACCTGCGGGACCTGCGAGATCTGTGGGATCCGGAAAAGGAAGCCACGCTGGGGCGGGAGCGCCAGTCTGAACAACGAAAGCACTGCGCCGATCCGAAAATAAGGCCCGCGCTGCAGCGAGAGCATGTTCCTTGAACAACGATGGAAAACCCCACAAAGCATATGAAAAACAAGTTCGCGCAAATCCTTGTGTTAAGCCAAAAAACAAACCGACGCGGAGGGATCGAATTCGGAAAACAAGACAGCAAAATTCGCTCGCGCTAAACATGAGTTAAAAGCAATGCGCGGGGGGGGGGGGGGGGGGGGGAAGGCGACCCTCCGGAAATATCGGGGGGGAGGAGGGCAGGATTCGTACTGTGCAATTGTGGAAGGGCGAAGGGGGGAAGGGCGGGAAGCAAGGAGTGTGAGGGCGTGGGGTGGGCGGGGAACGGTGGCGGCAGCGACGGCTCGCGGGGATCCTCAACCTCGATGAGGTGCCTGGCCAGGCTCGCCTCGGCACGAGCGGCCACGAGGGGAGGAGACAGGCAGGGGAAGGGGAGGAGGAGCACCACGGCGCGGCAGCTAGGGGAGAGGGGGGACGGGGACAACGGCGACGACGACGGCGACGGAGACAAGGGGGATGGGTGAGGAGGAGGAAGAGGAGGAGAAGG